CGGGCTCGACGGGCGGCCGGGCAGCGGAAGGTTCTCTCTCCGGGGCTGGACTTAATAACTTTGGAATTGTCCACCAGTGTCACGTCCTGAACATGAGCCTCCTCCTCTCCTTCTACCTGCTCGGGTTGCTTGTCTGTAGCGGGCAAGGTAGGAGTGTGGTGCTTTATTACATTTACTTTCCCTCCCCCTTCCACCCAACCCAGAGAGGCAAAGAGGGAGGCACAGGAGCAAAAAAAAATTTAAAAGAACTAAAGTTACAGTGACTGTTGTTATCTTTATTATTTTAGCTCTTTCTTTTGGCTGTCCCTAAAATTGTATCTGTCTTGTGGAGACCCTCAAATGAGGAAAGAGGAGAAAATGCAGATTTGCAGATGGGCATCAGTGAGCAGGAGATTGAGGCAGACTGCCTTTTTACCCCCCTGTGATTCTAGCTTTCTCTGATTTTCAGTTTTAAAAATTGAATGAGTCTGTTGGTATGTATTGATACTTAAATATCAGAGGTTGTGGAAGAAAGGGTTATGATGCTGTTTTACAGAAGCAGCAAAAACTATAAGCATTAAACTCGTTTGTAAAATATCCCTGTCGTGTGCACGAAATTCAATTCTTAGAGAGTTTTTTTTTTTTTCTCTTTCCCAAGACCTGACTATGAAGTGAATGATGATGGCTTATTTATGTTGGAAACTAAGAAGGGCCGTGGAGGTTGTGTGTATGAAAGCAAATGCATAAAACTGGGGATGTGTTGCAGTCATTCATTTTAGCCCCCACCTCCTTGTTAACATCGAAAAAATATAACTATTTTATAGCATGAGATTGTAATTATTCTTGCAAGGGATTTTATTAGGGTTATGGACAACTGGTGGGAGCTTTTAGATCTGGGGGGGGAAGAATAGCCTAGTAGAATAACCTGAGGGAGAATTTGTGGTGCTACCTCTGCTGATCTGGAGAGAGATATGAATTTATCTTGCTTGTATAGGTAGCACACGTTCACATGAAATATTTGTACAATAGATGGAAGCATTTTCAACAGTCCACACAAGTTTGGACATTTAATTGAGGAAACAAAATGCTAAAATATGCATTGGCGGAAGTCTCTAAAGGAGGCGATTGCAGTGGTCCCGTGATGTGTAATAATTGCAGAGAATCTTATCAATGTAGCATGAATTTTTAAATAAAATATTAAATTGCAAGATAAGTTAAAATATCTTCACTATATCGATTCTAAGCATTTTTAGCCTCCTCGGTGTTGCTCCGGTGGTCCAGCAGGGGGTGGTAGAGCTCCATTTTAAACCCAGAAACGGTCGTTCCTGCTCTTGCAGTCCTTCTGTCATTCTTCAGCAGGGCTTGACATTTTGGATGTGAAGCCTTCCTTTCTCTGCCCTTCTCCTCCCCAAAGCTATAGTATTAGTGGCTGATAAAACACGATTGGGTGCAGGTTTTATGTTCAGAAATAATGCAAATGCTGGATATTGCTGTAGTTTGTAAAGTGTCTTGGTAAGATGCTGCTCATTTTCCCATAATAGCCAGAGTACGTAATATTATGGTCTTGGAGGAATTGTGGATAGGTTCAACTGGAGCTAGCGTTAGACCATTCTGTTAATTCAGACACTCTTATGGCAAATATGGATGTACACAAATGGATATCCCCACAGATGTGCTGCTTTCGTTTTTGTAGATCTGCTAATTGTATGTAAGTGTTCCTTTGTAACATGGAAAGATATTTCACAATACTGAGAAAGAGTCCCTGAACATTGCAGTTAAAATACAACTGCAATTAAATAAGTGTAGGTGGTGTGGAGAAATATAAATCCTAAGAAACAAGTTTATGCAGACTTATGATTACGTTATGAGTTGTTTGCAACAGAAAAGTGTCTCATTTATGGAGTCTGAGCATCTATCATTGCAGACACTAAGTGTGTTGGAATTTAGAGATAGAAGGGTCATCTAGGAATATTTAAGTCCCAGGTTTTAATCGTACAAGTACACACAGACATGCATAATTTGGGTATGTACATGTCACATCTATTAGAAAATTTGATTCAGCCAATTTCTTATCAGAATACGAGGTGGTTATAAAGGAGGACTCTGAAATGGAAGCATGCCTTCAGGGGAGCCCGTATTCACGGTAATGAAACAGGGTAGGAAGAGAGCATCATTGGAAAGAAGATATCTAGTACAGTTTCCAAATGCATGGCTCTTACAGAGCCATTGAAGCATATTAGAAGGACTGGCTTTTGTGACACCCAACATCTAGTACTTCGGTGCCATGTGCCTTAATGAATTCAGAGACGCTTGGAAATAGAAATCCTCATTCCAGAATCTAATTCCTGTATGCTGCTGTTTTGTTCTCTAATTAAGGATGCAGCAGCGGATATCAGATACACCACTGGGAGCTGTCTTTAAAAAAGTGAACCTAGTGTACTCCTAATTTTGTTTATTCTTTTGTAAATGGGGGCATGGAAAAGCCAGCAGTCAGTGATCCCTGGGCTCGCCTTAGAAATACGAAAACCCCAGCTTGCTGATTTATGTTTCCAACAATATACTTGCAGGGGATTTTATGAAGCATGATTCAAGCTATTGCTTTGGAAAGTGGTGTGCAGTTAGACTGAGGAAAGGCAACGATGATGTATTCCCTTTTAAGTAGTCAAAACGTTTTGAACCACAGCAGTTGAAAGGAAGAAAATGACAGAAGTGAAAAGCTGACAAACTTAAGTGGATGCCAATACCATAATTAGCTAACGAGGCCTAATAGTTCTACTCCCAACTTTCAACAAAATGTTATTGTTCTACTGTAGTGAGAGCTTTTTAGTATAGTAGAAAGGCTTCTTAAAAAGCCATTGGCTTCTACTACAAGCTTGGGACCTAAGGAAGAAGGCTGGAATTTGTCAAGTTTGATTTTCACTGTCCATGGAAAGGATATTCTAGAACACTGTCACTTCTGCAGTTACTTTTGCTTTCTGTTCAAAATTTAATTGCAGTCTCAGTTGTCATAATTCTCAAGTAAAAATTCAAGTCTCAGATTCACGATGTATTTGCCTTTTGCAATTTTGTAAATGCAAATTCTCAATATGTAGTATGTATGGGTTGCTTTCCTGAAACTTTTTCAACGTTTAAAATGATTATCTTATTCTTTTACCAAATCACCCAAGAATGATTCCGAAACCCCCATTACTTGTTCACATATATAAAATAAAATCACTGGTGCGCTAAAACCTAAGGTTAAGAACAGTGCTATTCATCTCTCTTGCAATCCACTCCCTCTGTCCTTAGAACACTTACTTGAGCCCAAAATCATGAGATGGGGAGGAGGATGAATTCTCAGGTTAATCTGTCACACCGGGCATCTGCTTATGGTTACTCTTTCTGCGCAAGTGCTGTTAAGTCATTGTTCATTAGAGACATGCATCTCCTAAAAATAGAGCACAGGTGTGTGAGGGTCTGTGAGGGTCTGTGAGGGTCTGTGAGTTTCAGGCCCATAGGAGAGATTTCTCCAAACTCATCCTCTTTCTAGGCTGCTCAGACTCAGCCTCTCTCACATCCTTTCTCAGTGTTACTGTCTTTCTTGGCTGCAGGCTTTGTTATGCAGTGTTTCCACTGAAGCAACTGCATATTCATTTGCTCTTAGAGAAGATAGGTTATGTAAGTTAATATCTTTATTGCCAGTGAACAACCTAGAGGTTTCCCTCCCTTGCTTTGTGTCAAAGGAGCCAAGCAGATCATTCTCTCACTTTCATTTCTCCTGCTCAATCAGCCCATGCAAAAGGAAAGAGAAGTTGGTGGGTCCCGAGTGTCAGATGAGTTTGTTCAACGACACAGGGGGCTAATGTTCTCCCAGAGGTTATAGCCTACTAAACGAGCAATTAATGGAACAAAAGAACCTCATTCAGTAAAAGAATAAAGGCAAGCTTTATAAAAATTTGTAAATAAAATGTGCTTTCCAAAATAGAGCTAGTTGGTAGTGGGGTCCAAAAGGAGCTAGGGAGACTGAGGCTGGTAACCAAGTGAACAGTGATTTGTTTTTGTCTGTTTCCTTGTGTGGGCGCAATGTGAAGAGAAACAAACAGAATTCACAATCTGAGGCTCTGCACTGGATGCTGCTGCTTTCTCTGGCTTTTGACATTTGGGAAATCATTTTAACTCATCTGTTTTCAAGGTCATCTCTCATAGCAATGAACTTTTGAGGCCAGGAAGAAAAGTGCTCGATAAGTTGCAGAGGGAGTGGAATTGCTTTTGTTCGGTTTAGTTTGGTCTAAAACAAAATTAATCCTTTGGGTGTTGGTGTATGCAAAATTAATTTAGTAATTTTAATGTTCTTATAAAGGCAATATGTTTTTTTTCCAGGTTTTTATTGACCTAAATTCTGAATTTCCTGCCTCCTTTATACTCTCCCAATTATATTTGAGATAGGCCTGTTTAAAATATTATAAATTAGTTTTAATTTTCCAAATTCCATGATAAGATAATACTTTTTATAATGTAACCAGTGCTTTTATGGCTTCATTAAATGTAATATTCCCGCATTTCATAGAGCTAAGGAATCTTTAGTTGTTTAGCCAATAAAAGTGCATCACCATGGCACACTTTTAAATACTTTAATAACTTTTAATTATTTATAACTATAATAGCAGTAACTTTAATCCCAAATACCAACATATTTCTGTTTCACACGTTCACTTGTGCACCTAAAGATTGATCAAACATCAAAAGACATTTTAGAAAGCCATGACGTAATGAAACAGATTTCCTTGAATTTAAATAACTGAGGGGCATGATGGAGAATTTTAGGAACATTCTTAGGCATAGCAATAAAAAGTTGGGAGTCTGATAAATTTTAAGTCAAGTGATCAAAATCTTCTTGGCCCCACTTTATGTATTGAAAAAAATCAGAGGAGAACACATCAATTCTGGAGTCACATGACCCTATGCTACTAAGAATCTCTTGACTTTGAAGAAACGTTACACTTACAAGAACACTGTTTTCTTTTTTGAAAATTTGATGTAAAAATAGCTGACGAGTTTCTCTTCATGCTCAGCTGTGAGATATAGTTGTGATAATAGACATGCATGGCATCTTGTAAAATATCAACCCTACTATGCCAGGTTTTGTTCCCTTTTTTAGTAATAAAAACAAAGGTGAATTCATTCATGCTTAAAAATAGCTCATTATTCATTTTCCAAAAATCATCTAAATGTTCTAAAATTGGAAAAAGATGGAGCAGAGGTTATTTATGTGCTTGGTGAGGCATACTTATTTATCATTTACCCACGTATATAGAGCATGTATTAAATGACTGCCTATCCCACACACAAATGAGGCAGTAATACTAGAAGAATTACACAGGTTGTGGAATGAACAACTGCAGGGGGCGCCACTTATAGTAATAGTGATAGAGCAAATTTGCTTTTCACAATTTGCCAGCAGATGGCAGGAATGGGTTGCTCTTTTGTATTATGAATTCTTTCAAAGGGCTGGCATTAGCATCAGAAGACTTAAGATGGGCACACAATTACAATAAGTGATTTACTAAAGACAAAGTAGGAAAGGAAAATGGTAACTACAGCTTTAGTCTCCAAATTCTTGATTCACTTCTCTTAGTGGCAAATTTTGGGCAGATTAAAAATATTAATCTAAGATATCTTTGGGTCAGAGTAACAGGTATTTAAATTTTGTGATTTTTGTCACTTAATTAAAAAATATTTATTGAGAGCGCGCCGTGAGTTTAATGTCAGCGTCTTGAAACAGTACAGAGCACTTTTCCAAAGTGCCTGCAATCACTTTAAAACTTATAACCATCGAGAACCCAATAGATTATTAGCTTTGTTTCATGGCTGAAGAAAGTAACTTACAAAGAAATAATTTGATTTGCCTCTATCAATTATAGTTAGGAGTTTGTTGCAATTACTAGACTTGCTGACATCTATTTCATTGTCCGTTTTTTAATATATGTGATGTATTGTTTGAAAATTTGCTAGTGGGGTGGGGGATAATACTACTCCATGATGATAATTAAGAGGACAAAAAATACAAATTTAAAAAGCCAAATAGTCATTAATAAATCAACAAACTATTGAGCAGTGAAGAGTTACAATGTTGTAAAATGACAAAAAGACTCCATATAATTAATTTAAAATTAAATGATGTGCGTGAGACCTGATAAGTTCAGCGTTACGAAAGAACTAAATTTTACTGAGTGCTCACTTTCAGCCTCAGTTATATCAATCCTCCGTTATCATATTTACATCTCCCAGTTCCATATGATGATGATGATAGGAGATACACATAACTGCTTAAGGCTCCACAGCAGTTTCTTCACAGCCCAGACTCTAACCAGGACACTTATTGCCGTAGAAAGAGCTTCACCCTGGCAGGCGTAAGTGAGGAAAATACTGAAATGCAAAGAGGAAAAAAATACGGTTAAGTAAATGGTAGGGCAAAAGGTGTTTAGAGGACAGAACTAATCCAGGTTAATGAATCCAGTGTAAGAATTTATCAAACTGCTTGGATTCGTGAAATACTATTCATTAAACAATCTGGAAAGGTGAGTTGTTGGCTTTGAGAATGGAGCATTTTGGGAAATGGGAGCCAGAAGCCTTTGAGACCTAACTAAGTTTGGCTCTTGGGTCACACTTTGGGAGCCAGTGTTTGGGTAGGAAAACAACATAATTGAAGTTTGGTTTGTTTTTAATTGTGCTAGTCGTATGTATAATGAACTGAGGTAAATGAGAAAGATGTAAGTAAACAAGACAAATGTCTGGAAAGAATTAATGGCTTTGAGTAAAAAAAAATCAACTTGAAGTTTGGCAAAGTGACATCTGAAGTATTAGTCCCTTTTGCTAGAAAGAGTAACTGTATATTAATAGGACATAAGAAATAAGGAAAACCTCGTATTAGTGGTCATTTTAAAATGTACTTGGTATTTTAAAAATGAAATCTTAACGTGGACATACATGCTTGTAATGTTGGCCCACTGGAAGGCTAAGGCAGGAGGATTAAAATTTCAAGTCCTACCTGGACAGCTTGGTGACTTAGAAGGGCACTATTTCAAAATAAAACAAAAAAGGCTGTAATGTATCTCAGTGTGGACTCCTAGGGTTCAATTGCCAGTAGTGCAAAAATTAAATAAATAAATAAATACATAAACAATAAAGGCTAAGTTTGTCATACCCATGGGAGACCTAAGTATCAATAATACATTTTGAAATGCACTCTATTGATTTTTTCTCATTTCTTGAAAATTATTTCTCCACTTTTATTTATCAGTCATCATTTGTATTTATTGTATTGCATAGGTTTGGGATTTGGGGTAAAACTTCAGCAACATGGGCCAGGGATTTAGCTCAGTGTTGCCACCGCCTGTTTTGCAAGCAAAGTCCTGAATTCAAACTCCAGTAAAAAACAAAACAAAACAAAACTTCACAAACATGTAGGAAAAATTAGCTTTGATTGTATATTTTTCACTTCAATTGGTATTTTTATTGTTTTGTTGTTTTATTTCTGAGAGATCAGAACAAAATAGAAAAGGTAAATAAAATTGTTAAAGCTAAACTAGAACCTAAAATATCACGAAAATATTTTTGTTACTGAACATACTTGGTTTAAGTAGTATCCAAGGGAAGAGAAAGGAAGTAATATTTTTGAGCCTCAATTTAGTCTAGGAAGTTGATCATTTTCTCTTATTATCTTGTTCAATCCTAATTAAATCACGTTTTGTAGATTATATTCCTGAGTTAGTGATTTGCCTAGAGTTCTTAAATATGTTATGTAGATTGACACCGAAAATTCTAGCCAAAGAGTATTAAACATAATTATATATTTCAGTCTTTTCTCCCACGGTATGGGTTACACTGATTTTCACAGTGGTTGCCCCAGTCTTTTTTAAACTTTTCTTCTAATACCTCAACTTTTAAATGTATCTTTTTTCAACAGAAGATAAACAGTCTATGTTCTGCTGCCACTCCTGTGCATGTTGCATATACCTCTCAAAAGTACTTCACACACCAATCTATTGAGAGGTTATTTGGGAGCATAGTGGAGACTCTGGTAAGGCAGGTGGCAGAAAAAAACCACTGAGCTGCTAAATTCCCTGGCCCCAGTATGCATTCTTATGTATTCTTTTTATGTGCTTTATATTATGTGCAGTTGGTATATAGGGGATGGCCGATGGCCGATTATAATGCAGGATTGTGTTGATCCAGACACGATTTTACAACTCATTAATTTTTACCTAGTGAAGAGTAAATTTTCTCAGAAAGCCTTAGCAATGTGTGAAGATTTAAGAAAATCAACTTAAGTGCCTTCTTTAGTACAAGAATTAGTTTATTTATTGGCTTTAAGAAAATCTGGACTTCCACTACAAGATGTATCTGCAAAGTGAAAGTACAGCTAATGAAGCTGAGAAGTCATTTTCTTGTTGAAATGACATTTGTTTGTTTTTATTCTTTTAAAATTTCACCACTAAGACTAAGGGAGTCTTAACTTTGGTAGCTTTTAGGATGTTATGGTTTTTCTTTATGGTTGTCTACAAATTTCTGAAGCTTCTCAATGTTCTGCTTCCTAATTCTGTCTTTTCCCATAAGGCTTGATTTATTTTTAAAGCGTAATTTTAAAGATTCCATAGTTTTTCAGGGATGCACCATATGCATGTAAACTAAGCCAATTTAACATGGCCAGGACCTATGTTATAAATAAGTTCCCATTTCAAAACATAAACCTATTTATGATTTATATCTGTGGTAGAAATTGGATGAGAACCTACTCAAATTTTCCCATAAGGTCAACATTGAACCTAATCATTGTATTTGATTTGGTTCTTGTCCAACTTGGTTTGCAACCCAAAACATGGAAAGAATTAAGTTCCTGAACCAAGGCAGCACTGTAATCGTAAACAAGAATGTTTGTGGCCATTTTTCTTTTTTTTAAATTTATCATTTCCTAAGAATTTTTCTAGTTCCTCTAATATTGAACTTTCTCATTATTTCTGTTTCTTGTTCTGCTTAATCTATCGTTGATTATGTTCTACCAGTCACAGTTCTGAAACATAGCACACAAGCAAAGCTGGTGCATTTTTATTTGGAAAATTTTAACTAAGATCTGTTACTTGTGCCTTCTATTCATTTGCAAAAAAAATCATGTTTTCTCAACTCTAATGCATGCTAGTTACACTTGAACCATTGGTAGAATTCTCATAGCCTAGTATGTACATGGCCTGTGAATTTTATACTTTTCCTGTCTTTCTTTGCCAGGACAATTTCTGTTATTTTTCTTTTCCACACAGCCTACCTCATCATTGAAGACATCTTTCATTCTTCTAAAAAAAACTGTATAAATGAATTATCTGCTTTGTCTAGTCATTGCTAGAGAGCCAATGATGATAACAGTTGGAATCTGCATATCAAAATTATTGTGTTCCTTTGTGACTTGCCATGCGAACACCTTGAGGGCAAAAAAGCTTTCCCATCCTGGTTTGCCATTAAATGCTGTACACATCAATGTGTTTACTCATGGAACATAGTGGATGTTTACCAAAATATATACTGGACCAATATTACCTAGCAGAAATAAACCAATATAGCAGAAAATTTTAAATACATTTATTCTTGAATTTAGATAACGATTCAGTTAGTATTATATTATGCTTTGATCTGGGTATCTGTTTCAAATATTTTGTTTATATCACTGCCAAGTACATGGCAGACTTTCGATAAATGCATAGTTGTCTATAATATAATATAGACACAGTGGCTATTTAATTTAGAAAGAATAGTGTAGATGACCTGCTTTAGCTCTGATCTTACCTGCTTACAGAAAACTAGCCTGTACATAAAGCAAATACATTTTGCTAAAAAATTTTTTTGAAGCTGTATCTAAGATATATGAAGTTGTCACGTGGTTGGGGTTTCAAAAGTCTAAACATATAGAAATGCAGAATCAAGTGAGGAGGATAAAGCATGTTGATAATGATATAATTAACCAGATCAGGTAGTGCCAATAGTAAATGTTTGATATGCCAATAAAGCAAGTATTTAAAGTCCTCAAAATCAAGATAACCCCATGTGGTTAATTAAAAGTTGATTATTCCTTCAATGTTTATTGGAAACCAGTTCTGAACTGCATATACCCAAAAAAAGACTGGCAGGAAAAGAGTTGATTTGTTTATTTAATTTTTATCCAGGCCCTTGGTGTTTCTTTGTCTTTCTTAAATGAAATTTCCTTTAGGCTCAAATATCCTCTTGTGTCTTAATGACATATTTTTCTCCTCATAGTTATTTTGGAGTTCTCTAGGTCTGATTCTAGTGATAAAAAGCATTGGGCAAAATACATTTTCATATGGTCCAGAATATCTGTATTACCTGTTTGTCTGCTCACAGTTTGTTTACTAATGTTAGCATTATTATGTGCGCTACTTGTAACTTAAAATACAATTTGTGATTAAAGATATTACTACTGCTTCTGATGAATTCATTTTTACTTTCCTTTTCCCATCAAATTTCCTAATTTATAATCACTTTAATTGGTTATTTTGATGAGTCATTTAATTTCAAAGCTCCCTCACAAGCCCCATGCTAATGCATTCCACCTCTGTAGGGATTGCAAGTGGCCTGCAATTTAAAAACAATGCTCAACATAGGTTATTAAACGGTATTATTCCATCATCTATGGTTTATGAAAACTTTCAGAGCCGTATCCAAAATGGGTATGAAATGTTCTACTTTATTATTCTTGTGTTCTGAAAATAACACTACTTAGTACAACATTCTGAGCTATTACCAAGTCGTGGGACTTGCTAATGTATTTTTGTTGTCATGTCCCTATTTCATTTTTATTATGAGGAAACATTTTATCAGAAATATCTTACTTCCCAAACTGCATTAATACAACTGTTAATGAAAAGGACTTCTTTAAACAAATCATGCCTCCCTCTTGTGACGAAAAACCCAAGGATTCTGTTACTTGTGTTGTGGGAAAACGACTACCCTTATTAGTCAACTTTCCCTTGATGCATCCTGCTCCACTGTCTCTCAGCACTGTACCTTTCATTTCATTTCAGTTCTCTGTAGCAGAGGTGATGTATGTGGATGTGGATGTATGATGGGATGAGATAAGTTTCCACACTTGCAAAGTAACTTGTATTGTTTACGATCACAACATATTCCACTGTCTAAGCAGAGATACATGCAGGAAGCTGAGGCTGAGTGATAAAGGGAAGTAAACAGTGAAGATCAATGCCTGGCTTGTTTCAGGGAAGACAGTTCATCAGCTCAGGGAGAATGGGGAAGTGGATTGTTGTGCTAGATGGTTGAAAGGGTGGAATGAAGTCTGACATAGTAATCTGTAGAAAAAGGCAGAAGGAGATGCCAAAATATAGGTAGTATGTTTATGGTAATTT